TCGGTCGGACCGCAGTCCGGTCCAGACCGGTTCAGACCGGCTGACCGGTCCAGCTTCATTTTCACCCGGTTCAGCCCGTTTTAGCCCGGTTTACCATTTTAAGGACATTTTCAGTTAATTTCCGGGATTATTTCAGTTCAGTAAAATCATGTCCAAATCAGTTCAGGTTAAGTCAGTTCCGGTTATTCCGGATAAGTCTAAATATCATATTAAGTTAAATTGAGCATCTTAACAAAAATAATCAGTTAAGTTAACAGTCTGAGCATAGTCAATAGTAATTGTTTATATTATTTTCAGTTTGAGCAGGCATCAGCACTACCTTCCAGTTCAGCATTTCAGGTGGGGACTCAGACTAAGTACTACATTGTTTATAATTACGCTACCATGTTCGAGGTATGTATATTCAGTATCCGCTCGGAATGGTCGCCGGTCCATTCTGGGTTCTAGTGGCCTAATCTAACCACTAGAGTGTGCACATGGTCCGGTATTAGTTTGTGCCGGGAGATTGCGGTATTAGTTTGTGCCGACAGATTCAGTTATCAGCTACGTGACTTATGTCGCGAGTTCAGACCGGTATCAGATATCAGTTTCAGTTCATTTCAGTTATATATGCTTAGTTCATGATATTGTTATTATTTACAATGTTTTACATTAGTATGAGTTTCCACGGAGCACAGTGCCTTAGTGCTCACTCCCCAGTTTTATCATGTTTTTCAGGTCAGGATGTCGGGCCGGGAGCGTGACGTGACGTGACGGGGACTTCAGGATATTTATATATGTTTTGGACTGTATAAATATGATTATGACTTACGCTTCCGCTTATATTTTGATGACTTTTGATGCTGTTTGTTGGTTTTGACGAACTTTTAAGAAACTCATGATTTCAGTAACCGGACGTTTTTATTAAATTAAATCAACGGTTTTCTAAGATAAGTCACGATTTTTAAAAGGTAGCACCCCTAATCAGTTTTCGCAAAGTAAAAAGGTTTATTTTCAAAAGACTTTGCGAATTTTTGCGCACTCTGATTTTATAGTAAGGAGGGGTGTTACAGATTGGGTGTGCGTCCTTTAGAGCTGCTTGGGTTCAGGCACAAAGGTTTAGGTTTATACTGAAACCTTTGTCTTCTTTTATATCTTTTTAGTTTTGCTTGGTTTAATTGATAGGTACAGTCTGTTTGTATAACTTTGGAAACTACCGTGTACTTACTTTCACTCTTTTGGAATGAATTTTTCACTTTTCATCAAAAAAAAAATTAACATGAGAAATGCATGATATTAGAAATAAGTGAACAAAAGACCACATTCCCATTTTCATCATTCCTCAGGTTATCTGACTCCAACGGAATCCCCAACTCCTTGGGCGGCTCCCCCTCGGCTCCCTCGGGCTTGGGCCTGGTCCGCAGCAGGACCGCAACGGCCCAGTAAGTCTTCGTCTTGCTAATGGGCTGACTCTTTTCGAGCTGAACCAGGTCCCCGACCTTAAACTGGTTTAGCGGGTAGTGGGCCTGGTACTTCTTCTTCTTCCTCACGCGACCAATACGAATACGAAACAAGCAATACCCGGGCAAGCCATTGGACAAGCCGATCGGCAACTTCGGGCAGCGTAGTGCTTGTTGGGGTATACAGTAAAGCAAACTTTTATGTGAGCTTTTGGATTGTATT